TCCAGTTCCTCTGGCTTGTCACTTGTACCACCTGCAAGATACGCATGGTAATATATGTAGAAATAAACCGAAAATTTTCAGTGAGGTTGAAGCTACCTGCATGTAGCAGAAATCAGGCACTTTGGAGCAGTAATACTTTTTGTGCTGGCATCCATGTGTGTTTTTCAGAAAGGCTAACTTCAAAGTAAATATGGTGGAGTGATTATCCCATCAAGAGGAGATACCTGGAAATAGTTTTCCTCTCTCCAAGAAGATAAGAGGGGATTTTATGACTGATGGAGGACCTGGTTTTATGTACCATCTTTCTCACTGGTACGCAGACTCATCCCACTGACTTCTGTTGGGGACAACCGGAGGCCCAGAGAGGCTGTGGAGTCTCCTTCTCTGGAGATACTCAAAACCTGCCTGGATGCGATCCTGTATGCTCTAGATGACTCTGCTGAGCGGCGGGGTTGAACTAAATGATCTCCAGAGGTCCCGTCCAACCTCAACCGTTCTGCGATTCTGTGAGGCAGAGTTAATTCACTGTCCTGTTTCTTACCTCGTATATTTGTGCAAAAAGGTGCCATAGAGCTCTCCCAATGTGGAGCAGGAACTGAGATTCCAAGGGGAACTGCTGGGTCCACGTTCTCTGGGAACACATTTTAGAAGGATTAAACGTGACAAAGGCTGCTTGGAGAGTGAATGGCTGAAAAGTTAAATTGGAATGATTTTGTAAGGTTGGAGGCCTAGCCACATGCTTTTTCTGAGGTTTATGAGGATGAGAATGAAAATAACCTTATTTTGCTGAGGGTACAAAATGTAGGAAATTGGATGTTTTTCTTTATTTGGCATTACTTTGAAGGGGGTGAAGGATTTACAGCAAAATCTGACCTATAGCTTGGCAGACTTCACAAGTTGATGTTGCTGTACAGGTGGAGACAGTGGTAGATTTGTGGCTTACTGTGCTGTCTCTATTTTTAGTTTCTGACTGCTTGCAAGTTCCGTTAACAAATGCCAGGAAAGTGCATTAGGATTATCTGCTTTGTTGTAGAGCTAATAAAACGCTGTCCACTTGAGCCAATAAAAAGCTAAAAGCAGGCTCCCACTGTCATGTCAGTCTAGCTGCTAAATGTATGTAGTGACTCCACAGGATTTTAGAGAGACCTGCTCTGTTCTTTCCTCACTGCTTGCTTCCTATCATTGTTCTGTTTCAATATAGAGATTAGGAGCCCCTATTTCTGGGAAGAGCAGAATGTGGATTGAGGAGAAAGGGGACAATGGTTCAGCAAAAGCTCTGTGATCCATTCCTGCAATGCTGTACGTTGCTTGTGGAGCATGACAGTGATACCGGAGGCATAAGGACCACTGGTTATTCATCAGGCTTTTGCCCAGGGGTCTTAAGTGCTTGGATGCTGAAAAGTACTTCCCTACAAGTCTTTTCTTCTTCAGTGCATAGAATGGGACCCAATCTTTGTCCTTGCAGGAAGTGGTCAAGCTGTGGCAAGCTGTATTGGTTGGTTCCCTGTACGCAAATATTACAGATGCTTTCTCTGCCGTGAGCCTAGACTCATGGACAAACATCCCAATTAAGTTGGGCTGATTTATTGGTGAGCTTTATTGCATTACTTGTCAGTTATAGGTATGAATGTGCTTATTACACATTACTGAATACAATAGTCAGACAATACTGAAGGTGCTTTAGCATTGTTACTTGATTTGGAAAGAAAGATAAATGGGTTATTCCTGTTAGAAAACTTGTACATAATTAGAGAGAATATAAAAATGTATATTTCAACTGCTTAAACGGTCATTACTGCTTTTAGTACGGCCTTTGAACCTGTGTCACTGCACCTTATTATCCTAGGGGTTTCCAAGGCCTGGAACTCTACCAGTCTTACTTGCTAGCTAGCAAAGAGGTTTGAGCAGACTTCTGACACTGTTGTTCCAATGATTAATATTTGTTTTCGATTCTGGTTTCAGATAGCTCAAGCCAAACAGATTGTGTGTTTAGTGCCGTGCATATTCACTGTTTTAGAATATACAAAAGTAAAGATAGTTCTCACACTGAAGACCTAAATACACCAAATGTGTCCCTTAAAGGATTCTTAAGGTCTGGCTATCTGTATATTCTTTACATCCTGCAGAAATTATATATTCATTTTGAAGGGGACCACAGAGTGAATCTTTTTAAAATCAGGATTAGGGTCGAGGTAAAAGCTGTCAATTTGGTAAAAGCAGAGGAGATGATTCCACCACAAAGGCAGTCTGGAAATAGAAGTAAGAGAGGAAAGAAAAGTGTGGCAGCATATGGAAACAATAACTACAGGAACACTGCAAGCTCGTTTATGCAGGTGAATGTCTGTATTTTGTTGATGCAATTTATGCAGTTTTCGAAACTGCATGCCTCTGAGCAGTAAAACGCACGCAATGAAAATCTGATAGGTAGGACATTGTTATGCGTTGCGGTGTTCAAATTTGCAGTTGGAACACTGCAAGTTAGTATCTGCTTGTCGGGTGTAGCTCTTGCCTGGCAAGTCCGACCAAGAAATACAGCCTTTTTTTTACCTAGGAGATGAAGTGTGGAAAATAATGATTTAACAATGAGAGGGAGGTGTTAATCCGTATGTACTGTTTGAATACTCTTCAGCTTTGAGAAAATGGGAGTTTAGATATGAACTTCATGACTTTTCTTTGTGTTTTGGCCAATTGTAAGGATAAAGTCCAAATATTTGTGATATCTAGTCCAAATAGTTGTGATGCCTTTGTGATGTCTGAAATAAATAAGAAAGGGGTTATTTATTCTAAGATTTTTAAACTGATGTTTATACAGACAAGTGCCACAGAACTGTAGCTCACAGTTTCTGAAAAGAACAGTCAAACCACAGCAGGTTTGTTCTGCCAAGCTGTTCTAATGAGTACTGAAATACCAAAAATTAGATATTGCTTTTGTCAGCCAAAGATTGACAGAGTTGTTAATGAGTCTGGTTTTATAGTTCAAGTATTTTTATTTTTACCAAAATGTATTCTTCTTACCCAGTTAGCTGATATCTGTTCATGAAAGAGTAATAAAATTAATCCCGTTATACTCTATTCATAGCCCTCTTAGATGTTCAAACTGGAGTCCTTTTTATGTGTTTTAGTCAGGGAGCGCAAGCTCAATTAGTCCTGCTTTCGCTCTACAATCTACAGAATTTAGCAAGAAAACTAGAGCTGTTCAATGCTATAGAGTTTGCTCATAGGCATAGTAATACTGGTAGCCTATGACAATTACAATTTGAGGAAGTCACAGCTACAAGTGATGGCCTCTGCCATTGTCTCCTTCTTCCCTAGTATTCCTCTTTTTCTCTCCATGCAGGCCAAGCGCTCTACACTTTCGTGCTCTCCAGCAAGCACTGAATTCACCCGCTTCTTACCTGACATACATTAGGTAGTCCCTGTTAGGGTGCAGCAAGGGCTGGTTGCTCCGTAAGGGCCAGGGAACCGAGGGGAGTAACAGTGGGCAGGGCAGCAGCATGCCATGCAATGGCAAGTCCCACCATCCCGAAGTGAGATGAGCAGAGCAAGCTCCAGGGGTGGCAACCCGGGCTCAGCCTGGAGCCCAGATCGCCAGGCCGGTCGGTGATGTCTCTTGTTTTCCAGGCCAGTGCTAGTTCCAGCTGTCAAACTCTTTGTGGTGTTGGGTAATATTTGACAAAACTCTTCTTACAATCATCATCTAGGGGAGCCCATGCACTCTGTAGAGGAGCAGTCTCTCACCAGCCTGGGGCTCTCTGGAGCTCAAAAGGAGAGGAGACCCAGCAACCAGTTTTTCTCCTAGAGCCTGCCTGTGGTAATAGGCAGCAACTTCTGAGTAGAAAGCTTTGCAAAACCTGGACCGCTTGACTCATAGCAGCTCAACCAAGATGCTTGACCGTGCCTGGATAAACTAAGTAGGGACAGGAAACTTTACTGAGTTTAGGGTGGGGCATGGTGAACACACACTTTTTGCTCCTCAAAAAGCAGGGGCATGCCTTTGCAAATAGAAGGGAGAGAAGTTTCTTTTAACATAGTATGCAGTCGTCCTGCTTTCCTCTTGCAAATTCCTTCCTGCATTCAGCAGTTTGCAAGAAGGAAGCAAGATAATCAGAAATTTATGTGCTACTTAATGAGTGTAAACATGGCAGCACTGAGGCCATAGAAATTTGCATTGTGGTCTAAGGTGTAAGGCATGGAGGTGCAATTGCTAACGCACAACTTTAGTCAGTGGAATTCCAATAGCATTTTACAGGCTACGGAGTGGGTGGCTTAACTTGCTATTGAAAATTATTTTTGCTTGCATAATATTTCCTAGAATTTGGAATTGTAAGGTGATAGAATTAGGATGCATGGAATAAAATGATCTAAATGACTGTTTGTTCTAGATGCCAGTTGGCCCCTTTTTTAAAGAGTCATTTTATTTCCAGTGGCAGTATGCAGTCAGAATTAGAGCTGGTTAAAATTGTTCTCACTAGTGCTTTTACTGTTGAAAATTGCTGACCTGATGGAATTTGAAACGTTTCTTGGGGATGTGTAAATTACGCTTAGTCCTTTTAATAGAAAGAAGGCAATCATGAAGTTTGGATGGGCCTGCATAGTTTTCTGTCAGCCAGCTGATTGTCAAGTGGACTTTTGTGTCTAGTTGGAGCAAGACCCAATCATGGAAAGTTTTCTGAGAGGTTGAAATTGTGATTTCAACATACTTTTATTCAAAATTTCATCTGAAAGGCAGCATATTCCATAAACACAGTATTTCTGAGTGTTATGCTAAATTCTGAACGCATTAGTGTTTTGGAAGAAAGAAAAGTCATTCTCCACCATTCCCTGTGGCGCAAGGCCTCTCTTGAGGACCTTTTCTAAGTGTCAGCTAGGTCATTCTAGAGGGAACTGGGTGAGACTAAGCCCATCTGTTGAAACTAGTTTTACAGCTCCCAGATGAGAGAAGAAAAAGGGATCCAGGAGAAGATTTTAGATGATTCTAAATAATGTTTTCTTTCCTTTAGCTGTCTCCGTAATGAGATACAGTGCATCATCATTTGGATTTGCTGTAAGTAGAGATTTCATACAGTTTTTATGATGTGCTATTTCCGAACGTGAAGTACTATATTTTTTCTTATTGTAAATTCATGATAAGGTGTGCAAAATCAGTGATGGATGAGAAAAATTATTATTGAAGTTACACCTTGGGAAATGATAGATAAAGATGTTTTCATTATACCTTTTCAGTTTCTGACTACAAAGTCTTACAGTGGAGTTAATATCAATACTTATATCTCGTCGTTGATAGATACTACCCACTAGACTTTTTTTTTTTCCAGAATTTCTCTGCTTATTCATTTTCCATGTGGAACTTGATCCAAATTCTGAAGCTCCCTTCTGAAATTTGCGTGACCCTTTTGCTATTGAAGTCTATCATAAAACTCCTATTGACTTCAGAATGACAGCTTTGCTCTCTAACAATTGCTGTGACTTTCCTGATTAGTGGCAGAATGAAATATTCCTAATGACATGCAAAATGACTCAAACATCAAATATTTTGGCTTTGGCTTTCAAATTTGAAAGTTGCATTGACTCTGTGGGGACTTACAGTGGCACAAGCCAGTATTTTGCAGAATTTGTAGATGTTACCTAACTTCAGGTCTTCATTGACTGGAAATACAAACATGGCAATTCTGCTAATGCTATAGAATAATAGGCAATCTTGAATAAACAGGGATTTCAAAATAGGTTAGTATTTCTTTACTCTGAAACAAAATCTTCTAGTGAGGAAAATTAATGAATTTGCAGGAAAAAGGAGTGCTTGACAGGCATTTTCACACACTTTTTCTTTTAGATTTTTGCATAAGAATCTTCTTAGTGTTTTAACTCTTACAGTGCCACAACTGGCAGATTGTTTTTTTTGAACTTTTCCACAGTCGATGGCTTACAAACGTTAAGTTCTTAATCCCTTGATTGACTTAGTGAGCTCTAAAGTGTATTATTGTGCAATAATACATGGCAGAAATGTGAAGATCAGTTTAATGAATGTAAATCCTACTCTCATTAAAATGATATCTTTGCAGCTGCTTTGTGCCTGTGCAGCATGATGATAAATGCATTGCTGTAAGTACAGGGCACAATAATGGCCCACAAAACAATTGACTCTGTATCTCTTTCAGTTTGATGCTACCCTGGATGTTTTGTCATCAGTGATAGTTCTGTGGCGTTACAGCAACGCAGCTGCTGTACATTCTGCGCACAGGGAGTACATGTAAGTACACTTAATTACTTTCAGCTTTGATAGAGGCCTGCAGAGCTTTCCCTGTCAAGCTGTGATGTTACACATTCCAGAGCTTTGACAGAAACGTTCTGTCATGTCAGCAAGTATTCATTCCTTATGTCCATTTACTGCTTGGTCCCAAACATGGAGCCTTTTTTGCCTTGGGCAAACCTCCGTGTGATGGGGATCTTTTCCAGCCAAGATGGCAATAGTTAGGGCTTTGTGATTTTTCTCTTGCAGCGTCTATGTTAAATGAGCTGTATGTGCAATCTATAATGGATTTGTAAATCTCTTAATTTACATCTTAGTCGGTTATTCTCACCAGACTATGCTTTTAAAATAGATGATTGTATTATACTTGTGCTTCCCTTGACAAGATTGGACCGTAAGTTTTCATGTTTTTTAATGTTGCTCTTTAAAGGTAAATCACTTCTGGTTTTAGTGATAGTATCAGAAGTTGAGGTTGCAGAACACCTGATAAAATTGAACCTCTGGTGGTGATATGACAGTGGGATGACGTATGTCTGTTATAACTACAAAGAGAGACACACACTTTTTTTTAATTATGGAACTACTGCTGTTTCGATAAGTAAGGGTATAGCAATACTTGCATATCTTCTTTACGGAAAAAAGTATATGCTTGCAAAGGAAGTGCATTTAATGATGGTTATATGAATGGTATGGATAAAAGTCTTCTTTAGTCTGCCGTGCAGTATTGATCAGACTGGAAATTATATCCTGCACCGTTTCGTTTTGTAGCATTTTTATTGGCAGTACGTGTGGTAAGTGAGAAGATCAGGTGGTGATTGGCTAAGGAATTGTTCCAGCTCGTGCAGAAAAAGGAGATTTACTTCCTACACAAATTTAGGATATATCTAGATAGAAAATAGTAGTACAATGTGGGCAGCATGGAGTTCAGCATAATCTCAATTTATCTGCTTTGTTCTTGTTCTGTGCTACCATAGCTAGCAGTACCCCATCTGGCTTGTTTGAAGGAAACTCAACTCTCTCTCTGGAATGGACTACAATTTTGAAATTTAGGATGATAGGGAAGCTTTTATTCTAAAACACCATTAATGTGGTGCCTTTCTCACCACAGGGGTCTTTTTCACAGGGTCAATTAAAAAAAAAAACAGAAGGGACTAAAAGTTGTCTTCATGGTCCCTACCTAAAACCTAAGAAAACTGTAAGCGGTATTTTTCAATGCAACAGCTTGCCAGTGCTGTGAATTCCTCTCTGGCAGAGTTCCATACATAAGAGTTTGAAATAAAAGGCCACAGAATACTGATGTAGCATTGATTCATAAAAATAAATCCAGAAATGCTCCTGCACAAATTTGTACACCTTAACAGACATTTCCTGCATATCTTGCTTTTGTGGGCGTCCACAGAGATCCTCCTCAACGTTTAATTAACATACTTTTGAAATCCCCTTCGGCTGAGCTTTTTCCAAGCGAACCTTATAAAGTACTTTATAGAGAGAATAAATCCCAATACAAAAGAAGAATCAACATATCCCTGTGGCTAAGCCAGCAAAGTGAACAAGCAAAGTGGCAAACATATTTTCCTGCTTTTTATGCTCATTTTTAATTTGCTTTCATAATATCCCTCTGCTTTTCATAAGTCTGAATTAAGTCAATGAATTACTTGCCATGCCCTCTAGTTGAAGACAGCTAAGGTTACATGATGAAATCAGTATTGAGTGAAAGAACATTACCATATGCTGGGAATATTAATGAGTGGATAGGCAATCTGGGTATCTCTCAGTTTCTAAAACTGAAAAGAGAATCATAGTATAGACAAGTAAAGAGGTGATTGTATCTGTTAAGACAGTTATTAATTGTGTCAGATTTTTGAGGGAGGCACATTTATAATTTCCTCTTGTGTTTAATCAGTATCTTGCTAGAAAGGCTGCATGTGATTGTTTTTCCTCCACTTTGGGGAAATGTTGCATGGCTCCTCTTGGCTGCATACTTATCTTGCAGATAATCTTTGTATCATATGTGTCTATAACTACACCTGTTCTTTCACAGTTCTTGTTTTTGGTGTGCCAATGCCTCAGTGAAGAAGTCTGCTCTCAGACTCCTGGACAGTTTGGAAATTCATATAGGTGCTTATGTCATGCTGTGCATTATTCATGTTTTTGTGTGCCTGGCCATACTTTGCCTTAGCATGGGAGCTACATGCCTGTGCAAAACTCTGGATTTTTGTTGATGCTTTACTGCTATTTACCAGAGTACGATGTACTGGAGCATGTTCAGTATAGTTCTTTGTTTGTAGCTCTGTCTTTTATTCTTTAAAGTACTACATTTTTGTGTGTGTGTGTGTGTGTGTGTGTGTGTGTTCTAACATATCTGAAAGTAAGTCATATTCTTGTGCTCCTTGACAGGAGCTAAATGCAATTGCCAACAAATTACATATCGCAAATTTATAAAAATTCCTATTTCATACACTCGACAGCAAAAGATTGATCCAAAATCTTTTGAAATCAGTGGAAAGCCTCTCACTGAGGTCAAAGTTAGATCCACTGTCAGACTTCATTCAGAGAGAACATAAAGTTACAAAGAAAAAAAACAACCCAGGAAAAGACACAGAGAATACAGCCTGACTCATGATGTACTATGAATTAAATACTTACAATAAAACGCTAAGATATAAAGGAACTGTATAATCTCTCTTGAGAATGTAGCCATATGGAAGTTAGAGATGCAACGTTTCATCAGCTGGTACTCAGAATGAACGGCAGATACCAGCTCAGTGTGCCAAGTTCTATTAAGCTGAACCCATGCAATTCTGTTTGACTTCAGGGGGGATTGTAAGTCTGTAACTGGCATGAAAATTTGCCCTGCAGAGGTTAATGATGTCGTTTCATTTTTACTAATTCATTTGATATCTTCATTTTTCTGGAACAAGATGAGAAGGTACTTTTTCAATGTACATGAGACTAAAGATGGACAGGGCACATCTTTGCTGATTCTTTGGATGATTTACGTGCAGTAACTGCACAATACGTTTAAAATCAACCTTTGGAACCCATCTTTCCTGAAAAGTCTTTGATACAGGTGGCCTGAAAAGCTGAAGGTTTGCTAGCAGGCTTCTGAAGTCTTACTGATAAAGAATTTTTCTTAAGTCATCTTAAAAAGATGTATCTGGCTTGGCCTAAGGTATGTCTTCACTTGTGATGACATTTTTATACTTTATTTTGTAAATACATCAAGTGGCTTTGAAAATATAATCAAAACACATAAATCAGGTGAAAACCACTGTAAGATTGTAAGACGTATGAGATACTGCTTCATTCTGTCTAGCCAGCTTATTAATGGAAGAGGATATAGAAGTGGGCTGAACATCTGATATGTTTGTGACTGGTACTTTTGGATTGTTTCCCACTTCACCATCTTTCTGTTTTGACAGTCGAATAAAGGAGGATAAAATCTCTCAACAGGCTAATACGTTTCCATGAATATTTGAATGATAGTTGAAAGAATCGTAGGTCTTGAGGAAATGCAAGAATTAGGAAGGACTACAAATAGCTGGGAAGAGAGTCTTGAGTTCATGTTTCGTGAGTGTTTGATTTGCTCGGCATGATCTCCTGTGTTGCAAATAAGCATACAGGGAAGTTAGAAGTGTTGAACAAATCATCAACAAAGCAATGACTGAGAAATCCAAGAAAGAAGAGAGGGGTGAACAAAAGATGAAAAGTCTGACCAAGGTAAAGTTCTTGCCATTCTCTGTTTTCCTTCATGAGAGGAAAAGATAGGAGGAAGGAATATACTCTGATGTACTTGATTAAACGAGACACTGCAGAAATATAATAGAGCCTCTACCTTTGTACCTCGGGCCTGGTGTATCTTACTGCTTCTTCATGAGAGACTTTATTGGCAGTGCTGTGCCTCTAAGTCTTGTTACAGAATCGTAGTAACATAGAAGGGTTGAGGTTGGAAGGGAGTTCTGGAGATCATCTAGTCCAGCCCCCTGCGCAAAGTAGGGTCAACTAGAACATGTTGTTCAGGACCTTGTCCAGCTGGGTTTTGAATATCTCCAGGGAGAAACACTCCACAACCTTCCTGGGCAACTTATTCCAAAGTTCAATCACCCTCACTGTAAACAAAGTTTTTTTTTCTAATGTTTAAATGGAATTTATTGCATTTCAGTTTGTGCCCATTGCCTCTTTTCCTGTCACTGGGGTGCCACTGAGTTAGGTCTGTCTACATGAAGATGTTGAACAGTACTGGCCCCAGTATCAGTCCCTGGGGGGACATCTCTAGTGACTGGCCTCCAACTGGACTTCATGTTGCTGATAAGAATCCCATCAGCTCAGCAGTTCAGCTGGTTTTTCTGTCCACCTCACTGTCCACTTATGTAGCCTGTAATTCATCAGTTTGTCAATGAGTGATGGGAGACTGTCAAACGCCCTACTAAAGTCAAGATAAACAACATCTACCGCTCCCCCCTCATCCACCAAGCCAGTCATCTTGCTATAGAAATCTATCATATTAGGTAAGTGTGATTTCCCCTTCATTTATCCATGCTGACTACTCCCAATCACCTTCTTGTCCTTCATATGTTTGGACATGGTTTCCAGGATTATTTGCTCCATCACCTTCCCTGGGATTGAGGTGAGGCTGACTGGCCTATAGTGCCCTGGGTTTTCCTTCTTGCCCTTTTTGCAGATAGGGATGACATTTGCCTTCTTCCAGACTCAGAAACCTGTCCAGATCTCCATGACCTTTCAAAGATTATTGAGAGTGGCCTTGCAATGACGTTGGCCAGCTCCCTCAACACTCGTAGGTGCACTCTGTCAGGTCGTGTGGACTGGTGTATGTGTAGTTGGTTTAAATGTTCCCTAGCCTGACCCTCCTGCACAGAAGGTAAGTCTTCGTTGCTCCGGGTTTTCCTACTTGTCTCAGAGGCCTGGGATTCCAGAAGGCAAATCTTACTGGCAAAAATTGAAGTGAAGAAGGCATTGAGTGTCTCTGCCTTTTCTGTGTC